ACTACTACTACTTCTACTACTACTACTACTACTACTACTTATTATTATTATTATTATTATTGTTGTTGTTGTTATTATTATTATTATTATTGTTTTATAATTAATATTAATAACCACACGAGATCCATGGACAGAAAGGATTTCACTGAAAGACGTGGGCGCCGTGCTTATGATTATTGAGGAAATTAGCTTGTCTTAGCCACGACGAGTGAAAAACCAAAATACAAGGCGTCGGTGAAAATGTTTCAACCCTTTTGGAAGACCGTTTTCAAGTCGTTTAATCTCTAATTATTATTATTATTCAGTGTTTATTTCATATGTACCAAGTGGGTGGCATGCACGAGTTTTATAAGAATTCACATTATAACCTCTTCACTTTGGAATTTGTTAACGTTTTCTGAAGAGCCGATAACACCAAATTACACGTCTCAAGTTTTCACTTAAATTTTCCTATCCCATCAGTCGTTCCTACAAGTTAGTGGACAGACCTTTAGGGGATCTCGATTAGAATGACATGCTGATTGTGAAAATGCTCCTCGGAGTATCGTTCGCAAGTATCTAGAAAATTGATTGATTTAGAAACTCGATTGTGCCAATAGAACAACACGTATTCCAAATCCGAGAGATCGGAAAATGCTACCACGTACTGAATGGCTTTTTTAAGCCTCTTAACCATAGATTAAACATATTTCAACATCGTGACAGGTTATATACTACGGCAGCAGATAAACGCCTGCAACTATTGTGATCTTAATCACACCAGCGCTGTTATTTGTGTTGCGCGAACTACTTTAGTGAAAATTATTCGTTAGTTAGCTAATACCACAGGATGATTTTAAAAAACACGGAGGTAGTTGATTCAAAAATATCAGTTTTATGTGAGAACGCAGGCCACTGTTGGTTGGGGTTTATCATACAAGCTACTGGATACCGCATTGTTTGGGAGGTGATTAATTAAAAAGTCATTAAAAATACCTACATGCATCGCTCGTTCACTCATTCGAATCGGTGACTGTCTATCGTGTAAATATTGGATATGGAAACAATGTGTATATTGCATCAATAAAGTATACCTTTGCGAAGCTCGTCTGTACTCGTCTGAATTTTCAAACCAAGGAAACTGAAAACCGTAAGTAAATGAACCTTTATTTGCAAATACAGTACGCCATTACTTTACGTAGTGTGCAACTGTTGAGGAGATTTTCCTGATCTTAATCAACACAATAAATATGACTAGTGTCAAAGAAGGATTTACAAGGAAAAAAGAGAGGGAAAGTAATTAAAATATTCAAGGGTTTGTTTGGTCCCCAATTATCACTTGCTCCGATGTTGCATGACAAGTCACTTGTCGGCAATCCGCCATGGGAGCTTGAGTGCTTGCACAAATTGTTTCTGAGCACACTGAGGGGGTTCTGAAGGCGGATGGAAACTGCCTCCGCTGTGGCTAGAATGCGAAACCGCACGTGTCTAGACCATCCCGTCTTAACTCTGTACAGGAGTCGGAACGCTTTGGTCACGTTTACAATGTGATTAGTGTCGACAAGGTGCGACACGACGGCACTTGTGATTGACTTAATTGCTCCACTTCGTAACTACGCAGCGTGATGCTCACGGACGCGCTCGGACAGACGCCTGGTCCTTGTAAATTCGTTTTTGATACTAGTCATATTTAGTGTGTTGTAATGGCATGATTAAGACACACTGAAAACGAGCTTGTTTGCCAGTTTTTGTTCTCATCATGAGCTCCGTGGGACCTTTAAAACATTTTCCTGATCAATGTTTTTTATCACAGAATAGCTGTCATTCCCCAATATCACTGCCAATCGGTCATGCCTAGTGGTACGATCTCGGTCCACTAAGTTTCTCTCTCGATTGGTGTATGTTTTTACTTCTGTTTTACCACCGATTTTATTCTTCGTCGTTCAGTCTCCGTAATGGGTGGTACTGAACTTTATTTAACCTCTATCATCAAAAATCCTGGAGGTTACAAATGCAAGTACCTATAAAACACTACCGGATGATAACTTTCGTAATAGTGATTACCGTGTTTCTTTGGGCGCGATGCACGAAGCCCCATCAGAGTGAGTGTTAGCCAATCAACTGAGTGTTACACCATCTCTGCTTCAAGAGAATAGTTACTTTTTTTCAGGTTTAGTATTATTTTTTTGACCATTTCCATTGTCTAAAGTAAGCGTCCCTTTTATCCATTGAGGAGATAATAGTTCAAGTATTTGATTTACAGCTTAATCTCAAAGCAACAGTCCACTATGTATATTTCGATTTTCTGCCGCAGATTCATTGCCCACACCATGTCCGGCCCAATCGGTTGGTGCATAGGTTCACCACCATGTTTCAAGGTCACCTTCTGTTGTCATGTGTGGTGTGACCCGAGAATGACAGTTTATTTATCCACAAATAAGTTACCCCTGTCCACTCCTTCCCGTCAACTCTTTTTGTGAGCATCGCGACCGGGGTTCGAAAAACATTCATCAAAACTGCCGTCCACGAATACCGTCAGTAATAGCGGGAATACTGTGTGATTCGAGTGATACAATATAAACGGGGTTAGAATGATATATGTATGCATTGACTACACCCCAGATCCGTGGAACCCGAACAGCTATGCAGTCTGTGACCTGGTCGGCTCCATTGGTTCATCAACCTCGGTCAGTCACAGGAGCACGTATACATGCACACACGTACTAACGCGCCCATAGACACAAGCGTATTTATGCCTTGGACATGTGCATTTGTGCATTTCGGATGTCATGTCACCTGGGGAGAGCTCTGCAGTCTTCCACCCCACTTCATTCTGTCTCTGCATTCAAGCAATCAGAATTATCTGTCTGTTCGATAGTCTTCGTAATGCTTGGTGAAAGCTGAACCCGAGTGTTTTTTGCGCGCATGCGTGATGTTATCATTCCGGATAGCAAGCAGGAATCTCGGATGTCAGTGTGAAAAAATTATCCGTGTCACCGTGTGCGGGCTGTTCCTTGCGGGTGATGTGATATGATGTGATATATACACCAATGACTCCCTTCACAACAAGACAAAGACGTATAGATCGATATGGGTCTGGAGGTGACATAATTCCAGCTTTGGTTTTCACTGTCCAAGTCAAATACCCTAAATGACTACCGATGGTTTCTCCCTTCTCCGTTGTTGTTTGGCTGGTGTTTATGATATGAAAAAGCGCACGTCATACAGGGAGTATGTAACGTGAAAACAACCCATAATCGCGGATGCAGACTACCAGTCTGGCAAAGTGTTCGAACATATTGGCATAGATGATTTGGAATTTAGGACTCAAAATGAGTGTCATTTAATAATCTATGATGTTTGACTTTGATGGGAAAATTTAGGACTTAATATACTTCATGCAAATCAACGGCTTTCAAAATAGGTATCTTATTGATTTGTCCTATCAGAGAATCGGGGACTCTGGGTTCTTTACCACTGCAAACTTTCACAATAAACGTAAGCCAGGTGATAACACGAGAAAATTCGGCCCAGACAGAGCTTGAAAGTACCTATTTATCCAGGATTAAAATGCAGTTTAAATGTGACTACCGTCCTTTCTCTGTGTTGATCAGTACAGGGTCTCGATCGGGTGCATGAGAATTCCCGCCAGCTTTTATGCAAAAATGAATGCGTCAAACTTCCAGAACGATCATATTGGTAATTTATTCATCAGTCCATTCACGGAAAATAATGAAGTGGGACCAATTATCGCCACTACTCGGGGTAAAGTTTTAAAATACTGTTTAGGCAGGTCAGTGAATGTAATCAATAGTAAATAAACTAAGATGTGGCAAAAATACAATGACTAACACAAGTAAAAGTAACTCTCTGTCAGGCGTGTAGTTGTTTGAGATTAAAACCACGCGATACAATCATGGAGTTTCTGTTAGCATCACAAAGCTCTTATTTCAACATGAATGTGCGTCACTCCTTTAGCATGTACGATTCGCCAGTACAATACAATAACGTCTAGTCTATGTGTACAATGTTGTGCCCAGTGGTGAACAATATCACAGTTTGTGCTAGTGAGCCCATGCTGGGAAGACATGGGTTGTTGTATCCATTTCTGTCAAAGTGCCTGTGGTTAGAGGTAGAGGTCGCTGGGAGCTGATATTGTGCAATTTTACATGATAGGAACCGTTAACATCAGTCCGGTTGTCGTAGTTGGATGGACGTGGGGTTCAATAATATGCCCAATCGGGTTTTAAGCCGTTCTCATCTGGATGAGTTTGCACTGGTGATCATTTGAAACAAACATGAACTACATGTATGGGATTTTCGAAGCATTCAGTGGTGTGTCATACTTCGCGAATACATGATGAATCATTTTATGAGAAGATCAATTTTTCTCGATGCAGTTTACTGAAAATATCGTTTAAAAGTTTGTCCATTGTTTTTCCAGATAGGAAATCCTAGCAGATATCGTCTTCGGGACCGAATTGATTTTTTAAAGTATTTTGCATCGATACTTTGTAGCTTTCTCGGCCCTTTTCAAAAAGACACCTACTTTGCAATTGACGTTTTCTTTGAAACGCTTTTGTCACAGTCTGTTAGAATCCAAAGTATCTCTTCAAATACCAGCACACAAAAACATACAAGAACCTTGGATTCTTAGGAACATTTTGCGATAAATATTTGATATATTTCTGATGTAATTAAAACTCTCACTAAAAATGATACTATCTTTAGAGCGCCTTTGTTTCTCGTTTTTGTTCCATGATTTAAATAAGATTACTGTATCTGACTAAAAGAACTACTGTATTCACACAACGCTGAACACACAAAAACATGATAAAAACGAGATGGTATTAACTCAACCCCCAAATAATAAAAATGCATTTTCTCAGATCGTTGCGGCCAGTGTTAGATTCTTTGTCTTGCTAATGTCTCGGTTCTGTTGCAGTTTTGCTTTTATAATAAATTAATTGAATCGATGAAGTTACACTGGCAAACGAAACGATGACACACTGATGTTGGGACTAATGGCATGTACCTTGGTCCACCGTATTGGAACAGGGTTTGCTTTTGCCTGTTGGAGCTGATTCGTCTGTACTCAGAGGATGTGAGCCCAGCTGAGCACGCAGGAGAAGTAGTGTGGCTTCCGAACCCAGACTGGCACATGACAATTCCACATACGAGTCCGCACAAACCACTTCCTGTTGTGCATACGCTATCAGTTAGGAGCAAGGTGAGGGAGAGTAGAGAGGCAGAGATTAAATCAAAAGCAAAATGAAAATGTGGGAACATATGATTATTGGAATAAAATCTGGCCATCTGTTGAAATCCGATTGTCGATTGAGTTCGTCAACGATTGGAAGATGGTTAAGTTAGAAGCTCAGTTCCTGAATGATACAGAGAACATTTTCATCCATCAATTCTAGTCAAACACGAGCTAAGAAAATTTGGCAAAACAGCTTATTGTCATCTTACAAAGATGGAAATTCAGGCCGAAAATTCATGTGCTCCAGTTCCCTTGACAGAGTATTTGACTGTGGCGGAATCGTTGCTCAATTTATTGCTCCTTTTTATCTTTTGCAAATTGAAATCGAGATAAGTAAGTGAGTGTATAAATTGAATCTCTGTGATACCTATTTGGATAGTATTTTCATGTTTAAGCAAAACGATAGATGGTTAATAGAACAAAAATTCACATTTAGTCAGGTGGAGGTATGTATGTTTGAATATACTTGACTTGATTTGAATGTCTGTATGTGCAATGAACAATGCAGAGCTGTTGATTTTCCAGCCTCATGATTGGAGGATTGATCATTCCAGTGAAACAGAGTGGCAGGCAAGCTCATTTTCAGGGATTTGTATCCAAGTCAATACATTGCATCACACATCTTAATACATATAAACATATATATATTGGTCAACAGTAAAGGTTTAGATTGTTTACTGGGGTGTAATTAGATATTTAGTATAATGTAATGACATGACTACGAATAACAGAAACGGAGGTTGTTCACCACTTTGTTTTCTCTTTTATTTAATTCGACCGGCTACTTTTACCGTCTATCATCTCTGTGTGTATTTATCAGCCTAGTTACTCTTGTGCCGGTCATTTTAGTAGTCTCTCTGGGCGGTAGTCTAATAAATGAATCCGGAATGGAGGCTGAAGAAGAATTTTTATTTGCGAAGGAGGAAAACGGTTCTATATCGTACACTCGCGGTGGATATGGTTCATTGACGAAGGCCATCATTTGATTTTGTTGTTGTACCACCTTTTCGCCTGTTGCTTTTTCTGCTGCAGCAGGATAAGATTAATACTGCATTATTACACTCAGTTGATGTTGATAGGTAGACTCAATTGATATTTTTATTAGAATGGTAGGTTAAGAACCTTACGTTAGTCCAGAACCACCAGTTAAATCAACAGCAGTCTTTTTGTTGGGGATAGAGAAATGAAATGCGGAACTTTCGATCATTCATTCTTCAAAGATCGACGGATGTGGAATATTTAGCACGAAAAAGTCCGACAGATGATCAGCTTAAATCAAGCACATGAAAGGTTCCAAACAACAATTCATTGGTAGTATAGTCATGATAAGACAAATATACTTTATGCTATCGTAAGGCTGTCAAAATAGCAGTACATTTGATTGGGATTACATGATCCCAGCCCAAGGTATCTGTATCAACGTACCAGGAAAACACGTGTAGTTCACACGTAAGAACGCAGTGTACTGACACTCCAAATTGGCTTCAGTTCGAGAGAGTTTTCGAACAATGTCACACGTGTTCATACCCTGGCAGAGTTGTTGAACAACCTTGTGAATGCAGATTGGAGATGGAGAGGAGTGCGGGTGTGAGCATTTAGAAATCGAAGTACAACAAGGGAATACATGAATCTCATCTGGAAAATCTACCTGCTCCCTCCCCTTCCGACTATGCACAGTCAAACAGGAATCCGTCCAGAAACCTGCCAACCTGGATAATGTTTCTTTTATTTGACTGAGATATGAGCGATATACCGGTTATCAAAGAGCGCTGATGATAACATAGCCAACATACGTTTGCACATTTTGATGAGCGCTTGATAGTTTACCTTGTTTTAATATCGAGTTATTGTTATCTTGGTTGTTCAAAGTATATGGGTTAGTGAATCCTATAACAAACTGCATAAGTGTTCTCGAATAACGCTACAACGGACGCATTTTCATGAATGCACTTCTTACGGACAATGCCATCAGACACATTTGTTACTTTAATTTCTCAAAAAAAGCATTGTGAAATGCCTATCACTGGTATGCCACTCTAATCAACTGAATGTCTTTGAGGAATTTCAGATAAATCTAGTGCACAGGTTCCACTTTCTATACCAACACTTTTATTGGATAACGAAGAGCAGTACTTGTCCACCTCATTGTGTTTTACATGTTTTGGATAGAACCACCAAAAAAGTTGGAGTTCGGTTCCCAACCAAGCCAATGCATCAAATAGTGCAGCTTGACTGATCCAGTGGAATTCGCGCGTCTGCAATTTCCCTTCAGAAAGACTAATTCAATAAGCGTTTAGGTTTACCTTTTACTTTGAATGAGTTGTCACACTCTGACTAAAACCCAAGCCACTNCTCCGCTCTGCTACCTACATACTACTCATATTAGACTTCAGCTATGTATCGCTCATAAAATGTTCAGACGCAGTTCTCTAAGAAGTTAACTGCCCTTGAGATTACCTTCATTCAGAAATTCAGCATCACATATGTATGTAGTGGCGCAGTGCTTTAGTGGCTGCCACCGGCATGCTTTGGACCCTGTGGTCCGAGGCTCATGCCCCGTCACCACCTGCCAACTTTGGTGGTAGGCAGCTTTATTGTCGGCCAGTTCTATACCACNTAGTGGGGCTTTATGTGATTCGCCACTCCAAGTCCCAGGGCTTAGGATGCCGGTTACCATCATAGAAGAGCAGGTCTTCGTGACTATGAAGTTCCACCCCGTCTTCTGTTCATCGTACACTGGTGTGTAATAAACAAATTCATATGTGGCTCGCACTCCTTATCCCGTTGTCATAAGGTCTAAAAGAAAGGGCACAACTACCGATATTTTCTGAGCAGTAAAATATCTTTTCGAACGGATCATACTCTACAAAATAATTGGGTGTTACTTCAAACAGAGATATTTCTTGGTCACTCAAGGTATTGGTTTAATTGGGGAAGCTGGCGCCTAATTTCTAGTATCTCAGGATATTTTAATTGAATCTTCCTAATTCACTCCCTAGTATTTGGATATACACTTCACCACTTTGGTTATGCCTACTTTCCTCTGCTTTTCTTCAATCTTTTTCGAAGGGAGTTTGAAATTACCAACAGATTTCCGGAGCCTTGAGCTAGAGGTATATAATTGCAGTTCGCGTTAAATTCTTTCCAAACCTTAAATTCATAATACTTCAATGCTTGTCCACTGTTTTTCCTCATATCTATAGGGACTTAGCCTAATGGTAACGCAATTTGATTTATCTACTTCTTATTAGTCTTTCTTTGTTTGCTTTAATAGAGATGGATATCATTGTACTGTTTCTCACCTGCGTCTCTTCCAACCCCTAACACACCGTGTCTCAAAGCCACAACGCGTGGTCTTAATTAAGCTGTTGTTCAATACACTTAAGTGCTCTTCGCATTGTTTGATGTGTACAGCATTTATGTTTGTCATCCAGGTGGGTATACCTAAAATTTACTAATCTGAGGGATCTTCTTTTACAAACTACCAAATTAGTCTAATTAACGACAAGTTTAGGAATTCAATATTCATAAACAGTAATTGTTAGCAATCTCACTAGGATTAAGCAAAAGTAATGCATGAAGCGCAATTCCGCATTATCACGGTTTACAATTCCATGAGTTTTAGCCAAACCTCGAAAAGGGTTCTCTCAATATGCATGGTTTATCTATTAGAACCCGGCTATGTACCACTTTTGATTACTTTTAGTCCAAACAGTGATACACTGTGAGTGTACATTGCAGCCAATTCCTGAAGTGTCATTTACGGGGTGGGAAAAAGTTGGTCGGCTTGATCTGTAAATCAACCGGCTCACCGAAACAATTGAGGTCGGGGCACACTGCACTCGTTGAGCCGGATCAATAGCCACTGGATCGCCCTTATTGTCTAGATGTCCCGTATGGGGACAGGGTGAATCAGTTGTAAATGTCTGTCCCACAATTGCGTCCGTGATGTGCACAAACGCACCGGATGGGCAATGCAACATTTGCCGCGGCGTGATAGCCTGTTTCCATCTGTCTGGGAGTTCTGTAGTCGGTGCCAGACAGTTTGATACCTCCACAAAGCGTAATTCTCGCTGAATATCTGCGTAGACAGGTTAAAGAAGGAAGCGATACATAGGACATCAATTTCTGAAGCAAAGCAATAGGAGCTCTTATACATGGCTTATGTACAACTAGAGTGCTAACTTAAGGATGACGCGACTGAAGAACTCAGTACTTAAATTTCATTGAACACAAAATGCCATATGTATTTGGACTACTGAGAAAAAAAGACGACAATGCAACTTTCGGTGACAACAACTTGGTCCACCACAAACATGACAGAGATCCAAGGACATGCCGTCACGAACTCACAATAGCTCCTACGAAGTAGATAGAAATGCGCAACCGTCAGCTAGTTGAAATCTTCAAGCAAGATTTTGCGAATCAGCCTGTAGATCGAAAATGCTATCAAAACTAATGAATTCGGTAAGAAGTCAAACAACGGTCAGGTAATCTCAAAACCATTTATTTTACTTAACATAACTATTGATGCGGGAATGCTCAGCGTGAAGACGATAGCCAAATCACGGTTGCCGTGATAAATGGATTAACTGTAAGAAGTCTTCGTCACACAATTGCAATTCATTCGGATCAATCAGACCTGTTCCTGCATGCAACACATGCCAATCAGGACCTGACATTTACACTTCTGAATAGACAGCATCGTGTGCTGCTGATTCATTCCTCATACGTAAATATACACACACACACCACATAACAAGCGATTTCCCAATCCTATGCCCCCCATATTAGTCATCCTTAGCCCACCTTTGTAAGCGATTGCAACCGTTGCTGTCTCACGCCCAAACAATTTCAGCTTATGGGCCTTGTTCAATTGGGTAAGGAAAGCCCACAGACATTAGCAGTATCTTCCATTTCCGGACTGATTTTGGTCATTTTTCGAGAATCTGATCAAGTTCTGTGCGTTGGATCTCATCTGCTACTACATCCTTGATCGTAAAGGACAAAATATCAGCTGCATGTCCGTTTGATTTACTGACTGTGTAGCTGAGTATCGGCCTTCTCTTGTCCCTATGAACATGAATAATGTATTTAATTACAAAAGAAAATATCCTAGCTTTACCTCTCCGAGCCTTTTTCAAATGTTTATTTGTCTCCATATGCTTGGTTATCGTTTGGTTCAATGATTAGAAGAGAACAGTAGCTAATGAAACGGTTGTACCCAGTAAGCTTTTGATTGAGAGTAATGGTTATATATCAGAGTATGTCTCCGATAGAGAAAAAACAATAATCAAGAATGTCAAGCGTGGGTGAACTTGTTGAAGAAATATTCAATCATATTTGGGGATAAGCTATTGACAGAAGCCCATTTAAATTCAAAGCAGCACAGTCGGTAAAATATCAAAAATTGAATCATCTGTCAGATCTATACAAAACATCATGAGCTTGTTGAAAACCGATCACGTGAAAGAGCATTCTCCATGCGGAGTGAATGTGCTAATTAACAAAGGGAATTAACGTCAACACGTATTCATCGGACCCACTGGGTATCGAACCAGAACACGGGAATTGTGTGAACAAATGAGCCAACTTGGACTATCAAAGGAGGGAATTAGTAGCTTTCTATTTCTTCGGCAACTACGTGGTATAGTGCTCGTATTTTACTGTTTCTTTGAAGTAGCAGAACCCATCGGCTAATGAGTTGGCGAATAAATAGCTAAAGCATGACTTATAAACAGTATTCCACTACAGCTGAGCAAGGAATCTTCAGTTACTTGGCATGGGGTACGGGCACCACGTGCTCCAGTTGAAGTTTCAATAAGTTGCGTGGATACATGAAGTAACTGAAGGTTATCATTGATGTTGAAACTATTTTGCAGATACCTGTTATTTTATTTCTAAAAGAGTGAACAACTTGGCTGTAACCATCCGAAAATCAATAAACTCAGAACGAGGTTTGTGACTGAAAGACAATGAAAGTGAAGACATATACCAGTTTGATACCCAGTTTCTCATGTACCGGTTGTTATAAGCGTGTATAATATGGGTTAAAATGAAACAGCGCATGAGTTATGGAATACCGTAAACGAAGCAGTGTGTTGTATGTTTGCACCCAGCATACATACACTGTTAGCACTGATCTAAGTGAAAATGGATAGTGCACAGAGACGGCAGCTAGTTACACGCATGACTGCGTGGAACAAGACTTCATTGGACTGAGGTAGAAAAATAACGTGACCAAAGTGTGCAACTTTATCATCATTCACTGATGACACTTGGAAAAACCTCAATGGGATAACAAACATTTTCTCTGCCCTATAAGGTATTTACTCCTGATTTTTGCTTGGCTTGGTTTCCTCTGATCCTTTGAACTTACGGTATGAGAGTTCCTAATTAGATCGAGCTGAGCGCACTTGAACGCTCGTGACAAGTATGAATAATTGTGAAAACGTTTGAGCAACTGTCATAGGGTGGTCTCGTGGTGAGCATGCTTGCCTTCTAACCGCAAGATAACGGGTTTGCGATAGTCAATTTGTCTGACGGATTGGCACAGCTGATGAGACGAAACACGGCAGAAACAGTTAGACAGTGTTTCTTAACATTTCGACTGAAGTTTATTAGCTTCTTAAACGACAAAAGTACCGTTGCAATTTCCAAGGAAACGTTTTATCTTTTATTCAGTAATTGACAAAATAACTGTGGTTAACATTGCGTGGGGCCTGTGAGTAAAATATTTGATGTAATTGAGCGAATTATTGCCTTATTTCTCAGTATAAATGCAATCTGAAATGCAGTAAGGTAAAACTTAGCCAACCTGTTCAAATGCATTTTTCCTTTTCTGTTCATTTTCTTGATATCACAATGCTTAAGTGCGTTCGGGGTTGAATTAGAAAGTATTACATTGTACAATGGTGAAACTTTAAGAATAAAGATGACCAGTTTAGTTACTCATTCAGATCTCATCCAATAAATCCGTGTTTTCCAACTCAATTTTATATGCATGCTTCAACATAATTGATTATTATATGGCAAAGTCTGCATTTTTGTGTACGCCTCAATCCAATAACATATTCTGAGTTAAAAATCGATGAAATGCATCCTCTCTTCTGTCTGAAAAGCAGCTGTTGATCTAGATGGATTATAAACCACATCGAAATCCACACACTTTATTCCTCCTTCCTCGTTGTGCTCCAAGGGCAACTCGTCAGAGCACTCTGGCGTTCATAGTATAGTCATCGTTAAGTTAATTACATTTATTCCGCCTTATCAACTCTGATGGACCGAATTGATGGATCCGTGTCATAAACAAAGTGCGTTCAATGAAATGAACTTCAACAAAGTTTTCAGTCTGTAATAAATCCTCATCCTATACAAAAATTTCCTGTGAACTGTAATTTTGATGTGATGGATGAATAACCGAAATTGAGTTTCTTCCTAGTGTAAACACTTTTTCACAAAATATAACAACGGTGCATTTGAAAATGTAGGCAAAAATTTGTTTACTGATTTCCAGTCATTTTATTCCCTATGTAACTTTACCGATTCTCACCTTGTGATTGAGAAACTTCGCTCAAACTTTTGGCTACCAAAGGTAATACAGAGACTCAATTACTATAAAGGAGAACTATGCAAACTTTCCTTTATGGAATTAAGCTCCAAACAAACAAAGTCACTTTGTGCTCACGGTAGTGAGACTTTGGTCCGAATGACTTAAAAACTAGCATATGAGCTTGATATATAAGCTCTATGCGCACTTCTTCGGCTTTTTCGTGCTAGTCACTTTGCATTCACGAATTACACTTTTCTCAACGTTTTCTACCCACAACAAAATTGATTTGACCCTCAATAGTTCATTAGCTTCTGAGTAGTTCATACTTGAGATAGTTGTTCGCAGTGTCCTGAAACAATAAACACACAAAGAACTCATGATATGGTTGTACCTAGAGGCCTCATATTTTTCACGAATGAGCTGAACAGTAGTATTTACCTGAACAAGAATCGTGGATTACAGTAACCGACATTCATTATCCAGATAAATATTTTATCCGCATTCATCCTTCATTGGTGGTCACAAGTTTGACAAAATTTATGAATTTATTGTATACCTTTGCCCTTTAACCATGCTGCATTCGTTTATCACGCATGATCTGGGAACAACCGGTTAAGATCGTGTCAGTCAATCATGGAAATCTATCAATCTGAAGAGACCTTGAATCTAAAATTAATTTTCGTGTGGTTAGCAGTTTATCATTTTATTCATCAGACCTCTCACAGTTATCTGTTTTGTTCAAAATTAATTCATATCTTGTGGACTTTCAGATGTGTGCTTACAATGAACCTCATCGCAAAAGTCAATCAGTCAGGATCATTCCGATCAAGTCATTTCACTCTAAAAAGTCATGCTAGGTTTTATATGCCCTACAGAGTGGATTTTCGGCACTTTAGACAAATCACAGTGAAAAAACACGCAACTCCAAAGACGAATAAGTGGAACGCGAATCGATACGATCGAACAATCTAATGACTTTCAAATTCAGTAAATATAGAAAATTGGACTTACTAAGATATGGGGAAAATAAGGGATGAAACTATTTCCGTGTATGTTAGAATGTGCAAGATGTCTAAATTTGGAAAAAGTCCCTGTATAAGACACGCATTTATTGAGATGGGCATGCAGAAACTGAAAATTATTCTAGGAGATTGGGAGTAGAGCATAAAGTATTTACAATTTAGACGAGGAAAAAATACTGGGGAGTTGTAGAACCAGTTTCGAAGGATGCAAGCTGTCATAAATTAAAAATTAGATTTAGGAGAAAAGCAAGCTTTTTAAGTTTGAAAGCGAAGAGGAATAATCTACGAATCCTAATGTTAATGTTTTCAATGTTGTTGGAACAAGAAGGGTTATGTGACAATGTAACTCCAAGATATTTTACAAAGTCAGCTTTTGGGGTGATAATACTGTAGGAATAACAAGTTTAAG